ATTTATACACTTCAGATACAAGAAAGATTGCTATAACAGTCAAGCTTGACATCGCGACGATTGACCCAAAATCGTGCCAATTCTACGGATTACAATAATCTTCACAGTATATTTTAGATAGTAGGGTATCTTTGATGTAGATGTGGTTTCACCAATGTGACATGGACTAATGATAATAATTATGTTGATACGTCACGTCACAATGTGTCAAATAAAACATGTTAACTATCAACTTTCTTTGTTATTATTTTGATAAAAACAATAACAGTTGGCAAAATTTTCCCAATTGTTGATATTAAACTTTTTAAATCCGTATTCAATTACCGAAACAATACAAGTACGTTGATAAATGACATGGCATTATATTGCACTTTAGTTTCATTCATTCTGAATATCGGTCTTATTAAAGGGACAGATGGGTCACTATGGAGGGTTGATTTTAGTGTTGAATATATGTAAAAAGTCTTCAGAATTTCCCGAAATGTACCTAAATCGCATGATTCCTTCAAAAATGTCTCAAACTATAAATTTATTTCCTATTATATTTCTGTTCTATATGACAGTGTCTTCAAAAAAAAAGACGACTTAGACTCGTCTTTTTAACTTTCAAACGCGGATAACTCTGGACACACATAGGTTTGAACGCTCAAATTTCGACGGTGAGCTGTGAACACAATTACTGATTGGCTGACTTAATTAAAAAATATTCTGAGACATAGGTACAATTGTCAAAAAATGGCATCTGTCCCTTTTAAGTTGATCAAGCTTTTACCAATAGGACCAATGACTCAAAAAGCCTTCAGAACACATTTGGCTTTGCTGCCACCGTTTCTTTTAAGAACTTCATAATGCATTTATAATAGTTCAAAAATTTTGAATGATTTCTTATCAATTTACAAGTTATAGGCATGTATAATTTAATTTTCTTAAAATATTTTTGAATCATTATTGATAACCCAAATACTCAAAAATGCCGTCGAAACTTTCGTTTCATTTGCTATTATCTATTTTTCAATTTAGCCACTTCAGTTAGGGTCTAACGACAGCCCTCTTGAACATTCATCAGTTTGATGATACCGCCAGCCAATGCATTGTCTAAATTACTAGCTAGAGTACTGTTTTGATTGGTTATCTTAAATCATTAAATAATGTTAACAAAATAGGACAAAATGCGACTGAATAAGAATTTATGAAGAATTTTGTCAGATCATGGCTTGCGTGTGCAATGACTCTTATAGATGCTGCGCGAAAAGCAATATTGATATCTGCATTTTAATTAGATTGTTCCATGCATATAGTTGAAGGTTAGGGTGACATTTTGAGGATGGGAAATGACGCATTTCCAACTTTTATTTGTATGAATTATTTATATAAAGGGACAGATGCTCCATTTTTTTTTTTGACTAATCATACCTTAATCTCAGAAACGGGATTTTGATTTTAGCTAAACCAATTAGTAATAGTGTTCACACCTCATCGTCGAAATTTGAACCTTCAAATCCAAGTGTGTGTAGAATTATCCGCGTTTGAATGTTAAAATGAAATATTTTAAGTACTTCTGAAGACTATCTACACATATTCAAGACCAAAATCAACCCCTCAAAATGGTGCATCTCTCCCTTTAATATTTAGATTAAAACAATTTTCTATGCAAGCTATCACAATGTAAAACTCGTCAAAATGAATAGACTCCAGGGTAGATATTCAAATCTACAGTAATGACTTGTAATACACATTAAAGGTATCTTTTTATTTAGCATATCTATTCAAAACATATGATTGATAACCACGGGGTTTGTTATGTAAACTCTTCGTATCCAAGAAATTGTACAAAGCTTACAAGGTGTTTTGCGTAGATGTTTATCGTGTTTATGCATTATAACATAGGGTTTCTTTAAGACCTATAACTATAATTAACAAAACAGGGAGTGATATCAAAATAACCAGGTTCAAAGTGACACAGGTGTAGATTTTAGTATTTTGGCTTTGGGGTTTTATTTTCAGACTGAATAGACACATTTCACAAATTGTTAAGGCGCATATTTCTACTATAAATTAACTTATGAGCTTAAAGATATGATAACACCCCCATACAAACCTTATAACATATAAGCATTTTAATAAATAACATAGACATGGCGACTATTTACATTTTCTGAAAATACTCAATATTACAATATTCAATCTTCTATAAATCAATACAGACATATCCACTTGTTTAGTTCCATGCAGATGTAACGACTGAATCAATTGTAAATATAGTAGAAGTTTTTCTCAATATTCCTCTGTACACTTTTCCATTTGCCATACATGATGTGAGGCGGCCCTCATACCATAGCGATCATATGAATAATAACAGCGGTCTAAGATCATATGTTTAAAACGCAACTAACGTGAAACATAATGAAATACTGAATTAGCACCTATTGGATAACTATACTACAAACTATACATATGAGATCAAAATAAACAGATTCAGATAAACATGATTACATTATATCCAAGCAAATCTGAGCCCAGTTCACGCTGTGTCACGGACAAGTATCAGATGTGTCTTGGGGGATGAGGTGAAAAAATCAGTTCAATATGTGTTAGAAAGTAAGAGCTTAACAAACCAATTCAATATGTGTTATGTAGGATGAGCTGAACAACCCAGTTCAATATGTGTTAGAAAGTATGAGCTGAACAACCCAGTGCAATATGTGTTTTGTAGGATGAGCTGAACAACCCAGTTCAATATGTGTTATGTAGGATGAGCTGAACAACCCAGTTCAATATGTGTTAGAAAGTATGAGCTGAACAACCCAGTTCAATGGGTGTAATGTAGAATGAGCTGAACAACCCAGTGCAATATGTGTTTTGTAGGATGAGCTGAACAACCCAGTTCAATATGTGTTATGTAGGATGAGCTGAACAACCCAGTTCAATATGTGTTAGAAAGTATGAGCTGAACAACCCAGTTCAATGGGTGTAATGTAGGATGAGCTGAACAACCCAGTGCAATATGTGTTTTGTAGGATGAGCTGAACAACCCAGTTCAATATGTGTTATGTAGGATGAGCTGAACAACCCAGTTCAATATGTGTTAGAAAGTATGAGCTGAACAACCCAGGTCAATGGGTGTAATGTAGGATGAGCTGAACAATCCAGTGCAATATGTGTCATGTAGGATGAGCTGAACAACCCAGTGCAATATGTGTTAGAAAGTATGAGCTGAACAATCCAGTAGGATGAGCTGAACAACCCAGTTCAATATGTGTTATGTAGGATGAGCTCAACAATCCAGTTCAATGGGTGTTATGTAGGATGAGCTCAACAATCCAGTTCAATATGTGTTATGTAGGATGAGCTCAACAATCCAGTTCAATGTGTGTTATGTAGGATGAGCTGAAAAACCCAGTTCAATATGTGTTATGTAGGATGAGCTGCACAACCTAGTTCAATATGTGTTAGAAAGTATGAGCTGGACAAACCAGTTTGATATGTGTTATGTAGGATGAGCTGAACAACCCAGTGCAATAAGTGTTATGTAGGATGAGCTGAACAACCCAGTTCAATATGTGTTATGTAGGATGAGCTCTAAAATCCAGTTCAATATGTGTTATGTAGGATGAGCTGAACAACCCAGTTCAATATGTGTTATGTAGGATGAGCTGAACAACCCAGTTCAATATGTGTTATGTGGGATGAGCTGAACAACCCAGTTCAATATGTGTTATGTAGGATGAGCTGAACAACCCAGTTCAATATGTGTTATGTAGGATGAGCTTAACAACCCAGTTCAATATGTGTTATGTAGGATGAGCTGAACAATCCAGTTCAATGTGTGTTATGTAGGATGAGCTTAACAGCCCAGTTCAATATGTGTTATGTAGGATGAGCTGAACAACCCAGTGCAATATGTGTTATGTAGGATGAGCTGAACAATCCAGTTCAATATGTGTTATGTAGGATGAGCTGAACAACCCAGTTCAATATGTGTTATGTAGGATGAGCTGAACAACCCAGTTCAATATGTGTTATGTAGGATGAGCTCAACAACCCAGTTCAATATGTGTTATGTAGGATGAGCTCAACAACCCAGTTCAATGTGTGTTATGTAGGATGAGCTGAACAACCCAGTTCAATATGTGTTTTGTAGGATGAGCTGAACAACCCAGTTCAATATGTGTTATGTAGGATGAGCTGAACAACCCAGTGCAATATGTGTTATGTAGGATGAGCTGAACAACCCAGTGCAATATGTGTTATGTAGGATGAGTTGAACAACCCAGTGCAATAAGTGTTAGAAAGTATGAGCTGAACAACCCAGTTCGATATGTGTTATGTAGTATGAGCTGAACAACCCAGTTCAATATGTGTTAGAAAGTATAAGCTGAACAACCCACTTTAATATGTGTTAGAACAACCAAGTTACAGGGGGTGTTCTTAAATAAACTTAACAACCAAGTTGCAGCGAGTGTTCTTAAATAAACTGAACAACCAAGTTACAGCGAGTGTTCTTAAATAAACTGAACAACCAAGTTACAGGGGGTGTTCTTAAATAAACTGAACAACCAAGTTACAGGGGGTGTTCTTAAATAAACTGAACAACCAAGTTACAGGGGGTGTTCTTAAATAAACCGAACTACCAAGTTAAAGGGGGAGTTCTTAAATAAACTTAACAACCAAGTTGCAGCGAGTGTTCTTAAATAAACTGAACAACCAAGTTACAGGGGGTGTCCTTAAATAAACTGAACAACCAAGTTACAGCAAGTGTTCTTAAATAAACTGAACAACCAGGTTACAGGGAGTGTTCTGAAAAATAAGCTGCAGACCCACTCCCAATCCAGAAGCTTTTTGGTTGAAGAAAAGGCACCAAACAAAAGTAAAATGTAAAAAATTATTTACAAGAATGTACATTGCCTTATGTAATACTGTTTGAATTAAGCACAAGCTGTTCTATCAGTACAACCACTTCCAAATACAATTTGATGTATAAGGCACAGAAAGATCCAAGGCTATAAAAAGGATTTCTGTAATAATTCTATCATGTCTTCTTCATCATTCAACAAGGCTTCATCTAATACTGATTTCTGATCATTGTTAATGATTGACTTATCTGCCCCTGATTTTAGCAATAATTTCAAAATGTCTTCATTTCTGTTACTGTAAGCATACCACAATGCTGTCCAGCCATCGTTATCTTGCTGATTTAAATCACATTTATTCTGAAAGGATTAAAATTATATCTAAGTCATGATGGATTATTTTAAGCCTTGGATTAGTATACATTGTGCTGTATAAAATAATTTATGTCTCTCAACTCCAAGACTGACAAACATTAGGAATAGTGAGGCAATTTTGAGGTGCCTCTCCCCTCCAGATAAAAAGATATGCTTGTAGGTGTGAATATCATTTATTTCAATGATATGAAAAAATATGAGTTGAGCAATTGAAAAGATTACATGAATTGTTACATAAATGTAACATAAAGTGAAACTCATATTTCTTGGAACATAAAATAAAGTGAAACTCATATTTCTTGGAACATAAAATATAGTTTGGGCTTCATGAGAAAATTAATTATGCCCACATATCTCTCATCCTTGTAACCCAAAGATGCCCAGGAAAAATTCCAAACACATTTCAGTGGGAGACTCAGAGAGGCGCAGATGGACATCTGCAAATACAAAAACAGGGTGGGGGGGTGGAGGCGGTGGTGATCAACAGAAATTCTTATGAGCGACTTTACTGCGATGTGTGTGAAGCAAGATACAGAGAGCGAATGAGAAAAGTGTGGGAACATTCTTCTAATTACATTGATAATTCTGCGCTCAAATTAAACAACCAATCAGAGTAAGACATAAATTGCATTATTTACCATAATGTGTATTTGGTTCAAGACCAAATATTTGCATTATTCACAAGTTTTACCAGTATAATTTTGCACCTTTTTTATCAGATAAATCTTTTATATGCCCACATAAAATGTATACTATTTCTTTAAATATTCAAAAGTCATTACATTAAGAATTTATTAGGAATGACTTCAATGCATCTTAAACTTCACTTTACCTTTATCAAAACTTTTACAGCTTCTTTATTTTCATGAGAGACAGCCGTTAACAGGGGAGATAAGCCTGAACTAGGACAAACATAGTTTAATTCTGCTCCTGCAGTCACTAAAGCATCAATAACTTGACCACTACCCTCTTTACAAGCCATCTGTAGTGGACTTTCTCCAATTTTATTTCGACAGTTAACTTCAATACTTCCTTCAAAATAAATCAAAATAACTGATTGTGGTGAAATATTGAATAGTATATCTGTTTAAAGAATGTGATATTTTTTTTTAGTTTGTACTAAAAATTTTTTCATCTCAAAAGAGTTTTTTTCCCCATATATTTTAGCCTTGTGTGACATAGCAATTTCAAAGACTCTGTGCAACTTTCTTATCGTGTTGTCAGCATTTCTAATAATGGGGTCCACACTCATCTCGTAGTTTCACTGATGCAAAATGATGCAATAAAGGGTACAACACACTTATAGAAGAGCAAGATAACTTTAAATATATTTACCATTTATGAAAGCTTTAACTAAAGGCAATGAATCTTTTAATATGGCGTAGAATATTGGTGCTTCACCATTAGATAGAGGTTGACATCCATCTACACCTATTTTTAACAATTTGTCTACTACCTATATAACAAGAAACCCATTTTACTGAAGACTGCCAATAGGAAATATGTCAATTGACCAGGCCTACGGCAAGCACAGGTTAAACCGATCTAAATTTATCTCAGCTTAGGGTCTACAAGGGTCTGAATATTAATAGAATTTAAATTTCTCTTTTTTTTTTATATTATTTTCAATTGTGATCACTCACATGACTAAATCTTAATTTTGGGTTTAGTTCTATAAAAACACTAGGACAACACTACAGAAATGAGACATTTATCATCCAAAGGATGCAGTGTTTAGAAAAGTGTCAAGCATCCTTAAGCTAAGATTCCATATACGCGTCATGCAGATGCGTCATGTGGACATAAATGGCCCTTACGGATCCGTCATGCATCAAATATGATTCCATATGTGCGTTAAACGTATGTGTTATCTTTCTTTTGACGTAAGGACTTCTAGACAGATGGATGCTTTGGTGCATAAAAAAGACAGAGAATCCCCACAATATATGTCACATCTGGGAGATCTCCGCGCGGAACGGTGTCCGGATGCGTCAAAAATCTCTACAGCCGGCGATTTTTTTTTTTGCAAGACATAGACCATTTGACGGATATCGCCTCCTCATATATGGAATCATACCCTCTTAAACCAACCATTTCAATTTTTAAACCATTGGATCCGCATGACGCATATATGGAATCTTAGCTTTATAAGTTGTTCCAGAGAGTACATCATTGGAACATGTAATGTGAAAAGGGTATTTAGATGGTGACTTACAGAGACTTGTTTTTTTGTAACAGCCATTTCAAATGGTATAGCACTGTTTTCATCGTGATACTGAAAATCACAACCTTTCTCTAACAATAACAAGGAGATGTCTTCATGACCTGAATGTACATGCAAACATTTCAAGATAAATATACAATATACCGGTAATAAAAAAAAAGTTGTGCCATTCTTGTGCTACAAATCTAGAAAACTTGTTTTGAATCCAAAGAAAGCTTGGTGAATCGCTAAAGTGTGAAGGCATTTTTAAACATCCAGTTCCAAAACGGTTATTTGAAGACTTCAGTCTAGCACATTATTCTTAACAACAAAAAGGCATTTTCTTAGATAAACATTTGCATTTATTTTGCTAAAATTACAACATTCGGCTTATACCTTGTATAGATTGTACACTAGTAAATACAGCTAATCTGAGGCCTTGACAAAAAAGTCTGTCAACACTAAGCCATATTGTTTACAGTATTTATGTCAAGAGCTGTGATTGGTTGTATTTGCTGGTGTGCAATCAAATCAACTCCTTGCATTCTGTGATACAAGAAAGGCAGATATTGGAGCAAGATATCAGCCAAAGGTCTTTATAGCTTGACATTGACCGTGAAAATGAACTGAAGGTATCTTACCCAATTCAATGGCTAACTGTAAGGGTGTCCAGGCATAGAACAAAACATTAATGTTAACACCATTGTTTAAAAGTTTTTCAGCTTTCTCTTTATCATTTGCTCTGATTGCCATGTGTAATTCTTCTCCCTTGGTAGACATTTTGGTGAAATCACAACTTAACAGCAACAAAGGTTTACTAAAGGGTCACTGGTATTGCCTTTGGGTTGATGAAGATGTTAACCACTGGAAAAGGTTATTTTTTTGTAAACATTATTTTACAATGGGGAATATTCAGTCCCAAAAGGTGGGTCATTTTTACGTAAATTTTCTGAGAGGGAAGTGTGTCCGTTTCAAATGTAAAATCACTGAACCTTATAAGTTATATATATGGACCTGAAGACAAAGGCATACAGTTGAAAATTTTATTATGAATATTTACGAAATGAGAGAAAGATTTTAATCAAAAGCTCAATGTAATCATAGATAAAGTTATTAGTTATGAGATAAATTGACATAGAACATTAACTAACAGAATAGACTAAGAAGTAAGAACCGTGTGGTTAAGTTATAAAAGTTTGAATTTGTTTTAGAAAAACCAAAACGGTGAAAATGACCACTTCCTCTTTTACCTATAACGCTCAGGACTATTACAAATGTGCATAGGTCCTTCGAGAACTAGCTAGTAAGCTCATAATATCTTTCAGTAGTAAGGACTGGGTTTGTTTATTTTTATGACAGTGTTCTTATCTCAATACAAAGAAGTGGAAATGAAGGGAAATAATCGAGGGTACCGGTATTTCATTTAGAATACTCAAACCACAATGCATTCGGTAATGAATAATATCTTATTGTTGCAAGTGACTGCAGCAAATGATATTGCTTTCTGCATAAGATGGGAAGGGTTCAAACATTGCACACGGTAATGAAATTTTCACGTTGGTGATTTTGGAAACAGCGAAGTTCCACTCTCAATGGTCAAAGGGAGGTAACTACTATTTATGACTACAGACGACATTGATGTAAATATTAACATTTAATATTAACAATATTTATCAAAGAGTTAAATCCCAGGGAAGATCAAACTTTGACTTTGAAGGAGACACGTTAAAATAAGAATTGAAACTGCCTAGCTTTGATTTAGTCTTTGCAACTTTTGTTTTTTGATGATATACCTTACATTATGTTAGGCATGAGTCATCAATGTTACTAACAGAAACAAACATTATTTCATTCAACCCCATTATTGGGTATGGATAATCCATTAAATGTTTGTTTTAATTAGTTTTGCAGAAATAGCATTTTAAACAGAGAACTGCTGATCTAGCAATACTTGCCATTCATATCATTAAAGTTATAACAATTAACCAATCTTATTTCAATATACAGTGGTGTAACCTATTTTGGTGCATATAGGGATTCAACACCGAATTTCGTCAAAGTTAAAAAAACTCAATTTTTTTTCCTCAGAAATTCTACAAAATAATTCAAATTGGTTTGATTTGATTTTCTTTATGAATCCCACACTTTGACCCATATTTCACGAGTAACCAACTCTACAATGGCTGCTAAATTTCGTGTACAATGTTTAATCTACAAATCAGTCGAGAAAAACATGTTGTATGAATACCAAGTGGTATAATTAACTTCTCTTAGTATTTATCTTTAATAATATTTCATTATAACTAATGACAATTCCTTCAAAGAACGATGATTTTAAAAAAAAATAGTGACTGACAAAATATGATAAGTAGCGTGATTTATTGCTAAAAGTCATGGAAACAACATAAGAATATGGCCCACATTGTGTAGAACCATTGACACAGAATCCGCTAGTTGATCACATGACTTCATTCGTTGGACTGCATTCTAGCAGATGACACTTGGAATTTTGATTACAGCAAAGGATTATAAGGAATTTCGGCCAATAAAAAATTGTGACGTTTGGTAATAACTGAAACCCTCTATTTTGTATTTATCAATAATAATACATTTTACCTTGCATGAAATTACCGGATTCATTCTACTAGCTGATATTGTAGAGATAACCCATGTTTATCAAAACAAGCAAATGCAGAGGTCTTGCAAGGTTGCACATGTAAATTACTAATCATTTCCGGAGATGCACGAAAAATATGTTAGCAAGAAATTAGGCTACTTGACTGTATATACAAAAGTTGATATAAGACTCCTCATTTACCAATATGGCAAAACAATATTTGCCTGTCTTGTCATCAGTGCCCATTTTTTCCGCACACAGACATCCAGATCAAAACATATGCTAAAACCCTTTTTGATATCAAGTTTTGTATCACTAACTCATACCATCTACTATGTCTGTCATCATTTCATCCAAACGGTCACAATTTTCATATGAGGACTGAGGTTCCGCTTTTACAACCTTAGTTTGTAACAGTTCACTAGTTACTAAAACTTTGGAATCCATATCTTCTGGTAAAGCATTCACTGATCCTTCAATAAGTTCTTTGACTTTATCTAAATGCTTTTGGAAACAGTCTGCAATTTCTAATCTTTTCTTTTTCTGAATTTCCATCATCACCCTGAGTGTTTCACGAGCTTGATGAGGACGAAATTCATTGATTAAATGATGCATATTAATAAACAGAATCTGCATATCCTCAATTTTTTCTTGTCTTTTGGATGATTCTGGGGATTGAATTAAAACTTCCAATAAATCAAGAAAATTGATGAGTATGGAATGGTTGATTTTTTTTAATTCTCGTTTCCGATCATAATTGTTTGGATACAAACGTCGACAGTTTGAAGCTTCCAATGGTCTAATAATAGCATCATCTGCAGTAAACTGAGCACCAAACATCATATAATTATCCTAGAAAATAGTAAATCGTGATATCATGAATAACTTTATCAAGAGATACAGTCAAGTAACCTAATTTCGTGGAAACCTATTATTCGTGGATTTCCGGAAAGGATTAATAATTTACATGAGCGACCTTGCGCGACCTCCGCATTAGTTTGTTTTGATAAACATGGGTTTTCACTACAATATCAGTTAGTAGAATGAATCCAGTAGTTTCAAGCAAGGTAAAATGTATTAATGTAGACAAACACAAAATGGCGGATTTCACTTATTACCAAACGTCACCATTTTTTATCGGTCGAATTTCCTTATAATCCCAAGCGGTAATCGGAATTCCAAGTGTCGTCTGCTAGAATGTAGTCCAACGAATGAAGTCACGTGATCAACTAGCAGATTCCGTGTCAGCAGAAAATTTCTACGGAACACAAAGTGGACCGTATTCTTATGTCATTTCACTGACTTTTAGCAATAAATCACGCTACGTATCTTATTTTGTCAGTCACAATTTTTTTTTCGAATCGTGGTTCTTTGAAGGAATTGTCACTAGTTATAATTAATTGATATTAAAGATAAATACTAAGAGAAGTTAATTATACCACCCGGTATCCATACAACGTGTTTTTCTCGACTTATTTATAGATCAAACATTGTACATGAAAATAGGTGACGCATTCTGCCGCCGTTACCGAGTTGGTTGCTCATGAAATATGGGTCAAAGTGAAGGATTTATAGGATTTATAAAGAAAATCGAAATAAACCCATTTTTATTATTTTGTACAATATCTGAGGACACTTCTAAGACATAAAATTTTTTTTTTGTTTTTTTAACTTTGACGAAATTCGGTGTTGAATCCTTATATCCACGAAAATAGGTTACACCACTGTATAATAAATTCAGGTTTTCACATGTTTAATTGAACTGAATCTTGAATAAGATAAAGAAATATAAGCATGCTGTTAAAATCAGCTAAAAATAGCTAGATGAGAAAACAACACCATTAAGAAAGTTTCAAGTAAATTTCTCACCTAAAAAGAAATTTGAACTCACCACAGCATGTATGACTTACATTTTTCATTAACAAAAATGATACATTTGAACTGCAATAAGTGGATATGAGAAAGGGTTTCAAAGTTTAAAATTTCCAAAAGTCTGAGAATTTCCTGGCTTATTATTTAGATTTGGTAGCAGGGATTCTGGATAGGCTAAAGTTACAATATAAAGTTAACTTACAGAGATTGGAGGGGGTGGCAATGGTGCCCTGCCTCTTTTAATATTTTCATCAGTATAAACATTAATATACTGCATGGGAGGCGAAGGGAAAGCACTCACACCTTGACCTTGATTATCTGTCATATTCTTGGTTCTTACTGAAAGAGAAAAAAAAGGATGTAATTAAGTTTCTTAAAGACTGGCTCAGGAAAGAATTGTATTAAGGTAAGCTTCCCACAGGTAGGTAAACATCTTAAATTGTTTTCAAATGATTCAAGATTTAACCAAACCTTAAATAACAGTTATCTAATTACCGGTATGTTGAAAAATCAAAGTTTCTAGACAGTGAACAATTACAAAGGTTGATCTGCTCCACAAATATACAATATGGTTGAGCATTTCCTTTCGTGGTTTGGTCCCATATCCTATGAGTATGCCTGACTAAAGCAAATCATTTAAGCCTACTAATGGACCTTGTTTTGTTTATGGGTAGGAAATAGTTGAACATTTTCATACCTACAGTAAGCTTAATTAGATCTAGGCCAAAAGTAAATAAAAATTATTTCTATCTTTTTTTTATTTTTATTGTGGATGTGTACAAATACTTATTGTACAAAATATCTAAAACGAAAATGAAATTATTTCATTCAATATGAATTTCAAATGATTTTCAGTTTTGAAAAAATGATGTTCAAACGATTTTTAAAATTTCTGGATAGATTTTGAGTTTTGTCTTATATTTTCGTTTCTTGTTTATTATGTATAATTTTAAGTAATCCATAGTATTTCTTTCTTCCTGATAAGAGAGCAAAAAGAAAATTAGCCTTCCTTGTTTTTAAATAATGTAAGTTCAAGGCGTAATTTCATCTTTTAACCTTAAAAGGTACAAGAATATGTAGATTTATTTATATATTTTCCCTCTTCTCTCGCTGTCACATGGTTTTCATTTGACTTTGTTGATTTTTAGGAGTTTATTTTGTTAAGCAATTGATTGGCTATTCACTCACAAAAAAGCCAATGTTTAATGTCAATTACTCATTTCATTTGACATTAAGGTTATCAGTCATCAATAGACTTGATTTCTGACCACTGCAACTCCAAACATGTATTTTGTATATTCCGTACATTTTATCAAACAAGTAGCCTAGTATCTAGTTCTCTACTAAAAGCGATTTTTTTGAACATTATTTCTTCAAATATTTAATTTACAGTTTTTAGACATACCCCAGTCCATAGGTACTTTCCTTTTTTAGTTACCAGTAGGCATAAGATCAGGCTATCATTGCCATTGATATTATATAGATCTTAAAATAAAGATGAAATTGTAACTTTACCAATAAGAATATATTCATCACAGAACTTACCTGTAGTCAAATACTTAGACAGTGTGTAGCTTCCCTTCACCGTTGGTATTTTGTCTGCAATGTGTAGACCGGCTTTATGGTCAAATTGTGAATTTACTGTGTGTTAATATCGATTAATTTTACCCTTCATACACAGAATAACATATCCACACTAAAGTCAATTAATGTCAACACCTATCTATGTTTATTTATCATAAATTTAAGATCAAGACTAAGACTTAATTTCATAGAAAAGTTCCGGTTGACTATAGATAACTATTCAATGGGAAGGTGACAATCAATTTTAATTAGTTTTTTCCTTGTTTGTTCTCCAAGAAATTGTAAATTAGTGTTTATATTGGACATATTAAAGCATTACAATGCCTGTTACTTTAGAACCTTTACAGATATCAATGCCAGTCTCCAGAGAAAATTAGAGTTTTAAAAACGGTTGGCAAGTAAAAAATAAGGGTGGCAAATATCCTCGGCTATAGGACTATACGGTACATTCATTAAACAAAGTATTGCAATTAAAGACAAATGCTTGCTAAATATTAAGTGTTTTTCAATCATTTTATGAATAATTACTTAGTTTTATGGATTTGACATTTGATTTCTGTGGTATAGTTTTTACACCAGGTATGTCAACTGATGAATATAGATTCAGTTTGGCTAAGTTTTAAGATTTGAATTTTTTTCGCCATCCTAAGAGGGAGTATTTCTTTAGATTTTTACCTTCAAACGGTAGTATCAAAATTTTATTCAGATGAGATAAGTTCGGATAGTATTTGTGTATAAGATGATAGAATTATTTTGATGTTTTCATCAAACTTTAATAAATGAGTAGGTTATTACATTTATTGACTGTTAAATGTACAAGGATGTAGATTGTTGCAATTTTCTCTCTGTAATACTTCTTGCTATGAAAACAACAATTTATTTCATAAGCAAATGTTACCATGCAGGACTAGACTTCTTTTCAAGACAGTTTTAGTGTTAAACATATTTCTGATGAAAATTAAAATATGTTTGAATCACAATTTTTGTTCCTATTCTAGATTTAGTGAAACATGTTCTTCTTATATTTCAGCCACTTTGATTCATCAATACAAAAAAGTAAGGATGTCAGAATGGCAACAAATGGTGAAATTGAAATAAAACATGGTTTGTTATTGAAACGTTCTATCAATAGATCAGCCTTTACAACTGAAAATTATCGTACTAGATTGTTTGTCTTGTCCAGAACTCATTTACGTTATTTTGATGGAAAACCACCGGTAAGAAAAAATTTTACATTAGAAAATATTTTATTGGTGTTAAATTTTCCAAACAAACAAACAAACAAACAAACAAGGAACATAATCATTAGAACAGTATGAACTAAATCTTATAACTATCTTGGGTTAAATTTTTACCTTTTCCAATTTATCTTACCTGTACTGTTTGGAAAGTTTCAAATGAAAATATCTTAGCGTTAAGTAGAAAATGGCTAACAAAGATTCCTCTTCTTTTGTGAACACTTTTACTGTTCTTTGTTTTTCATTCAGATTGAAAAAGATTTCTCTGATTTTCAGAAAAGAGGAAAGGAAAAAGGAAAGATTGCTTTAGAACATGTCAAAGTTATAGAAGAAGTTGAAGATTTAATGTTAGATAATAGAAACAATGTCTTTCAAATAGTTTATAAGCAATCTTCAGATACATACACCTTATATATAGTAGCTGTAGATGATTCTGTAAGACAGGAATGGATTGAGGCCATTCGAACAGGTAGGTCAATTTATGGTAGCTTTATTTATAGAGAAAGAAATAAACAATTATATTTTACAAGGTTTATATTCATGATATTTTACATGGATAAGAACTATGTTTTACATGGATAAGAACTATTTATAAGGATAATAACTATGTTAAACAAGGATAACAACTATGTTTTACAAGGATAACAACTTAAGTTGACAAAAGATTCTTTGTTTTGGCATTGATTTTTTTCCCGATTATAATTATCCATTCACAGGTCTAGAGAATAAGATATGAGCGAAAGTGACTTATTCTAGGTAATCAGACTATCACATGCCAACCAGGACAGTATAATGAATGAATGAAAAAAAGAAATAAAAGCATATGCTTGATTGCCCCGTTAGTTTCTGTCGTTAAAGTGAAAAATATGAAATTTATCAATTGGTATTTGAAATTAGTATTATATAACAAGGTATTTTGTATCAATCTTAACCTTAGTAAAGCAAATTAGACATATATAAGACTGACCAAATTGCCCTTTCATTTGACATCCCAGTTTTAAAACCACAGTATTCTTATAATTTTAGAATGTAAAAAGAATGGTGCTAGATTTTTACCAAAATATCATAAAGGAGTATGGACTAAAGGTCGTGGGAAATATAACTGTTGTGACCAAATAGATAGAAATGCCCCAGGATGTGAAATGGTAGAGAATACACATACAAGTAGTAAGATACTTTTCTTCTTAAATTGGTGAATTGCTACACAGAGCAATCTTTCGTTTTAATTATTCTTGCACACCATCTGTGATCTGACTAAAAGCTTTTTTAAAATCATGTTCATTTTGACTTAATGACTCCATAATTTTTGTTATTGTTAATACAAAAAATAAAGAACATGGTTTAAAGTGAAATGATAATACAAAGCAAAGATTATTTGAATATCCTAAAATTCCTTGCATATAATCAATATATCTATTATTGAAAAGAGCTTTTGATTGATTGAATATTTTAATTGTGTTGCACAATCACTTGTTAGATCATGGTTTTACTAGTTACGTCACTCACAAAAAACATATCTGTATATGAATCAAAAATGAGATATTAAGTATATGTGTTTTGATATTTTTAAAGTTGTAACTGAACCACATGGTGGCAGACGTCAACCTCTACCACCAACTCCAACAATACCTGACCTTACTTCTGCTGAACCAGAGAAAGTTTTTATTGCTGTTTATGATTTTGAACCTGCAGAAGAAGGAGATTTAGAATTGATACGGGTTGGTTTGCATTCTAGACCTTTGGTTCCAATTCAAAACACTTGTTGTTTTTTTTTGGTCTTGACCACTTTTGAGCAAAAAATTGAGCCGGAAAGTTACAATAAAAGCCTAACATGGACAGGCCACTTTTGATGGGGATGAAAACATTGACCAAGACTTTCAAATAAGTTTGGAACCTATACATACTCATCTTTCATGAAGCCTACTGTTTAAGTATGGTTTACCAGTAGTATACATTCTTTTGTTAAATAACTTGAAAGGATAGCAGTCGAGGTAGGGTGTTGATTTGGTAGTTATGATATTTTCAAGAATTTGATGTGCTAATATTCAAGTTGTCACCTACACTAATGGAATAGTTCTGTTGTAAGCATGGTGGATTGCTAGGCGATTGGGTACCTGAGTTCAATCTTCCTCAAGGGCTTTTAACACCTATCATCACCTACACCACATGTATTTTCTTGTAGGGTGAAGAGTATGCTATATTAGATGATTCCAAAGAACATTGGTGGCAAGCTAGAGATAAAAATGGGTAAATATTTTATGAAATTACTGAAGAGTTGTGCTAAGATCATTCCATGGACCTCAAAGCAAGATTTTTATCGATCAGGACCACAGACAGGCATTTAAGTTAATCTTGGTACTTTTGCTTGAAGAGCCTCATACAATGCTGGACTCTTTTTAACAGGACAAGGTAAATCCTGACATTTTAAAACTTTTTATAGTACACTTTTATATTTTCAAAATCATTCCCCTATTTATGAAACGTAAATGGTCAGATCATGGCACAATGGTAATCTTCTGCAGTCAAAATAAGGACATACACTATATTTTGTGTTACTTTGCTTACGCCAATGGTCAAGCAATAAGATTAATGAATCCCTCTTACTCTGCAATTTCAGGAACTGTGGTTACATTCCATCCAATTATGTTAAACAGAGATATGGTTTAGAATTATATGGGTGAGTAAAATTATTTAAAAGCAAAGCTGTTGTTTACGCTGGTGGTGGTAAAGAGGTTTTCTAAATTTTATCTGTGTATTTGGGATACTAATAGCATTAGTTGGCAATCAGACATCTATGGTTCCTGCAATTCCACTAAAACTAAGTGTTTGATGATGTCATAAATTGCTTTATCACACAAAGACCTTTATGATTAGTCCTGAACTACAGTATTTTGATGCCTCAGTGAAGATATTTGTATTTTTTAGATGGTATTATAAAGATTTAACTAGAAATAGAAGTGAGATGATATTACAGAAAGAGAAGATTGAGGGGTGTTTTTTAGTACGAGATTCAACCAGTACTCCTGGCTTATATACTGTTTCAGTTTATACAGGTGATGGGTAAGTCAACTTTTTTGGTATAAGGGGTGAAAGTACATATAAGGCCAGTCCCTAGATTCATGTAGTACACATGGCTAAAAGTGCTGATTGGTTATATGACGATGAGGTTTTGGGAGTTTCATTATTTTTGAATTTTTTTTTTGGATTAGTTTAAATTTATGAGAAACTAATCACATTATAGTATTTTTTTCCCATCTTTTTCAGTGTGAGTATTGTTAAACATTACCATATACACAAAAATGAACAAGGCAAATTCTTCATCTCCTCAAAACATTGTTTTGACAACATTCCAGATTTGATACATTACCACAGACATAACTCAGGAGGTAAATTTATCTGTATTATATCTTAGACTGTAGCAAAATAATACACTTATAGTATGTAATTAGTACGGTACCTAGTGAAACTTCATAACTGTATTATGCCTACCACATACGAGAGGAACTAGCTGAAGAAGTAGTGAGAATTTTGCTCAGCTGACAGCCTCTGGAGACAGGCAGCAGCTCAGCTAGTTCCTGTTGTCTGTGGCAGGTATTATACAATACAGTGTACTCTGTGTAATCTGACATGCAGTGGATCATTAATATATCAGATTACTGAGACCTCTGTTATTATTTATAGTTTTACAACTCCTTCTACAATCCAACAAATTCTAATGAATACATATTGTACCAATAAAACAAATTTAATTTTATCAGCTCTTGTGACGATATTTTTATTATCATTTGTAAATGTTAAGAAACCAACCATTGATTTTGAGGTCGATTTTCAGAGAATCAGCCATTCGGAAGTGGCGCTATTGGAAGGTCATCATCACCATCATCCAGATTGGGTAACAAAACACAACATGCAAAACACTTTTAGATTCATAGATTGCCTTCACTTCACGCTGCGCACATCTAGTCTAGTTTAGGGCAACTTGAACACTTGATGCACAAGAGCATTCTTCAATGAATGACAAAAGTAACTTGAATCATGAACCAAGACATTGGTTCAAAAGGCAATGACCGAGATCTTGTAGAGAGGGTGTTGGTTGTGAGTAATTAGCAGAATTTAAACCAGCGCTATTTTGTTTTCATGTGTTATTGATGTTTAATCTTGATGAAAATTGGTGATTATTTAGATGTCGGATTACAATAAAATAAGATATTTTAACTGTTAAAATAGTGCTCAATACATCAGTTGTAGAGCGGTATGTTGGATTATACAGCTTTTTTGACATAAAAAGGAAAATCAATCAGGGCTAAAAAAAGAATTATGTCGAATTGTACAGATTATCAGAATACTCAGATATCAGAATTCACAGAGTACACTGTATATCCATAAATAGTACACAAAAATAAACTAGAGTAGGGTTTTGACTCCTAAATGTTAATAATCAAGATTAATCTATATCTTCCATGATACAGTTACTCCGAACTATAACTAGCTGGTTGTCTGGATATTTGGATGAACCTATGAATTGCGTAGGATTTAAGTTCATCTAGAAGATTGTCACTTAAACTTGACGCTTAGTTATTATGTAGAATATAGGTTCATCTAGACAACTAGCTTGTTATAAAGTAGGATACAGGTTCATTTAAATAGGTAATTAGTTATAATGTAGAATATAGGTTGATCTAGATAGCTAGCTAGTTTTTATGTAGAATATAGGTTTATCTTCATAGCCAGCTTGTTATAATGTAGAATATAGGTTCATGTAGATAGCCAGCTAGTTATTAGGAAGAATATAGGTTCATCTAGATAGCCAGCTAGTAATTATGTAGAATATAGGTTCATTTAAATAGGTAACTAGTTTTTATGTAGAATATAGGTTGATCTAGATAGCTACCTAGTTATTAGGAAGAATATAGGTTCATCTAGATAGCCATTTAGTTATTAGGAAGAATATAGGTTCATCGAGATAGCCATTTAGTTATTAGGAAAAATATAGGTTTATCTAGATAGCTAGCTTGTTATTAGGAAGAATATAGGTTCATCTAGATAGCCATTTAGTTATTAGGAAAAATATAGGTTTATCTAGATAGCTAGCTTGTTATTATGTAGAATATAGGTTCATTGAAATAGGTAACTAGTTTTTATGTAGAATATAGGTTCATCTAGATAGCTACCTAGTTATTAGGAAGAATATAGGTTCATCTAGATAGCCATTTAGTTATTAGGAAGAATATAGGTTCATCGAGATAGCCATTTAGTTATTAGGAAGAATATAGGTTTATCTAGATAGCTAGCTAGTTATTATGTAGAATATAGGTTCATTGAAATAGGTAACTAGTTTTTATGTAGAATATAGGTTCATCTAGATAGCTACCTAGTTATTAGGAAGAATATAGGTTCATCTAGATAGCCAGCTAGTTATAATGTAGAATATAGGTTTATCTAGATAGCTAGCTTGTTATAATGTAGAATTTAGGTTCATCTTGATAGCCAGCTTGTTATAATGTAGAATATAGGTTCATCTAGATAGCTAGCTTGTTATAATGTAGAATATAGGTTCATCTAGATAGCCAGCTAGTTATAATGTAGAATATAGGTTCATCTAGATAGCTAGCTTGTTATAATGTAGAATATAGGTTCATCTAGATAGCTAGCTAGTTATTAGGAAGAATATAGGTTCATCTAGATAGCCAGCTAGTTATAATGTAGAATATAGGTTCATCTAGATAGCCAGCTAGTTATAATGTAGAATATAGGTTTATCTAGATAGCTAGCTTGTTATAATGTATAATTTAGGTTCATCTAGATAGCTAGCTAGTTGGTTAGAATATAGTTTTATAGAGATCATCAGCTAGTTTTTTTGCAGAATGACTAGCTAGCTATCTAGATAAACCTATATTTTGCATGATACGGAAATAGTCATCTATTAATATCGTTTATTTCTGTCTGATAACAGGCAGGCAATCTTAATGATTCAAGATCAAGATATCTAAATGAATCGATATCTAAAATTATACCAATACATTTCATATTCTGAAATTTCTATAGTCATGTGTTGTTGTTGTACAGGTTTAACCACAAGATTAAGAGATCCTCCAGAAAGGGGGATCCTCAGAGTCGACC